CAAGCTTCCTCTTCTGAAAAATGAGAGGATCTGATGATATGAGATGTGAGAAAGCACCTGGCACAAGGGACCACTCCATCATTTGCTGGTGAAGCTAAGAGCTTCTGATCCTTACCCAGGAATCCACTATCTCATACCAATTCCTATTTGTTCACTTCTGTTTTTTGGTAATTAAAAAAAGGTCATCGAGGGGGCCGGCCTGGTGCTGCAAGCAGTTAAGTGCGCGCTCTCCGCTGCGGCGGCCCGGGGTTCGCAGGTTCAGATCCTGGGCATGCACCGACGCACCGCTTGGTAAGCCATGCTGTGGCAGCATCCCATATAAAGTGGAGGAAGATGGGCATGGATGTTAGCTCAGGGCCACTCTTCCTCAAGAAAAAAGAGGAGGATTGGCATCGGATGTTAGCTCAGGGCTAGTCCTCCTTACAAAAAGAAAAAATGGTCATCGACTCTTACCCAACATGCCTGAGCAATTCCAGTTCTGGCTAAATACTGATACGAAATGCCTGAAGCCTGCACTCTCAAGAGCCTGTTCTAGGTCCTATCCACCCCGCCATGCCACGCCACCCACACCGTGCCACACTAACTACACATCACATACCACACCACACCTCCTCTGTTCAGCTGATGCCACGAGGCAGCGCAGCACCTGGAGAGCCCTGTCGCCTGGCCTGCCTGGGTACCAGAAGCACCATCACTCCACTCTTTCCTAGGGAGGTTCTCCCCATCCTTCTGTGGGGTCAGTAACCAGCCAGCCTGCTGTACCTGTGCAGTTCTCATGGACTCAGGCACTGACTAAGTGCCTGCCAGGGCTCTTAGCCAGCTCCTCCTCCTCAGCTCCGACCATGTACAGCTCTCTCAAGACTTAGTTCTTAATGCGGCCCCTTCTCCCCTAGAGACTCTGTTATACAGAGTTCCTAATTAGAGCACCATGTTCCTGAGGAAATAAGTGAGCAGAAAACATAAAGAAGCTTGTTTTATTCTTTGACCTCATACTGTTTTAGGGCAGTTTTTTCAGTAATGGGAAGGTACCAGATGCCCTGGATATCCGACACACCCATCTGGGACAAGAAGACAAAGACTGATGGCAAGAGCAGGGCCAGAATTCTCTGGACTCCGCACAGCAGCCAGGAAGCATCCCTGGGCGGTCCTCCTGTCCTTCACGCCATGGCAAGGGAGGCACACGGAGCAGGCAAAGGGCTGCCAAACTGCCTCTCAGCACTGACTCAGTCTTTCCACTTCCTGCAAACATTTTCCTTGACAATTCCCAACTCCTGGAGAAAGGGGCATCACTTCCTTTGGGAGTGAGGCAGATTAGTTTTCACTCAATGTGAATGCGAAGAGCTAGATAAAATATTATCCACTTGTTCTTAAAAACTGTGGGCTAGATGCTGTCTGACATTGTTCAAACAAGACTGACAAAAAAGGTGATTCTTGATTGAAAATGAACACAACTCAAATCAGCCCCACGATCCAGCCTGGCCTCAGCAAGCCCACTGAGAAAGGCAGGCATTCGCTGAGGCAGCTCTCAGTCCTCTTGAGAGTGAGGTAGGAAGAGGTCAGGACAGGTGGCAATGGTGACTGAGAAGGCAGCTCCCGCTAAGAGCACAGATGGAGCTCACGCAGGGGCACAAATGACCAGGAGGAAGGCCCAAGGGTGGTGCATGTCTGCCTCAGGTGCTCCCATAGATGTTCACACCTCACCCTCTCCCGATTTCACCACTCGCTGAATCAAGTAGGCCTGCTCCTCAGTGGCTATGCCATTTCCTTCGTATTCTCTCTTACACCTTAGTCCTCTGCCTGGGTCCCTGGCTGGCAGCCGAGGCACACTCCATTCTACAGCCACAGGACTCAGCCCACTGTGGATGGTGAGGCAGGACTAAGAAGAATCACATCTCCTGGGGCCTGGTTTACACCTACAAGAAACCACCACTCATTTGGAGCCCATGCCCAAGGACCCGTCTTGCTGGCCAATTCCACTGTCCCTTGGAATTGATCCACAACAGTAAGAAGTGAACACAGGAGTCAGAGGAGGTGCTTCAAAGTCTGGAAGATGAGACACAGAATCTGCAAAGATTAGTTTCCAAGTTGTTAAACAAGCACAGGATCTTGGGAGGTGGAGAGCAGGGCTTCTGAAGGCTGCCCATTCTGTCCTGGAATAGCTGGAGCACTTCAAAGTCCTTCCTTATATACAGCTCAATTCTGCCTCTCTGGGACAATTTAAAAAAAACGATTTATGAGCCGGCCCCATGGCTTAGTGGTTGAGTGCACACGCTCCGCTGCTGGCGGCCTGGGTTCAGATCCCGGGCGCACACCGACGCACCGCTTCTCCGGCCATGCTGAGGCCGCGTCCCACGTACAGCAACTAGAAGGATGTGCAACTATGACATACAACTATCTACTGGGGCTTTGGGGGAACAATAAATAAGTAAAATTATTAAAAAACAAAACGATTATGAAAAATTCAAATCTATATAAAAGTAGAGGGAATAGTGTAAAGAATTTAACGTATTCCTCACCCAGCTTCAACAATTACCAAGACATGGCCCATCTTGTTTCATCTCTAACCCCACCCACTCCTCTGGGACAACTGTAAAGTCCAAATGGAGAAAAGCCTATTGGTTTATTACAAAAAACTGAGTGTTCCGGGTACCACTGGTTGGCTGACCTATCATCTACTCCTAATTCCCGCCCCCCTACCACCCCCAGCTTCCACGAGAGGCTTTTCCAGCCTCCCCTACTGCTGGGGGTGGTCAGGTGACCCAGCTGTAGCCAATGAGACATAATGAAAGCTTGCTTGAAAGCCTGCTTTAAAGCTACTTTTAAAAGTCTCATTGTAAGATGATACATGTGTGTGCATACATACACACGTGCACATTTTTTAGCCAGAGGAAACTGCTTCATTAGTAAGATGAACTTAGTTCAATACTTTTAAGGCTTTTAAGGAGGTTACATGTAGATCAAGGGGGAGGCAGCTGAAGTCAAGGCCAATGAAACAGTTTTAAATGTGCAAGTCTGGGAACACTCAAGTAAGGATCTACAAAGTCGGGAGGAAGGGCATCTATAACAAGAATGGTGCAAATAGCTATGAATTCCTTGAGAAGCTGCCAGATTCTTCAGAAGAAGGGGCTAGGCTAGAGGGGCATTTCAAAAGACTCATGGATGCATAAAAAGTCATCAAGTGGAGATCAGATGTGTGCAGCAAACCTGCTGGGAAAAGACACACCAATCAAGAGTAGCAGAAAGGAACCGACCTTTCTGCAGAGTTGTTAACATTAATCTAATGCAGAGTAGAGATGGAGAAGCCTGGATCATAAACAAAACAGGCAGGGCCAAGGCCCCGCTATGACTCTCACTGACATACCTGACTTCTCTCTCCATGCCTTGGAGCAAAGTGAGCATAGCAAACCCACCTGTGCGAAGAACCCAGCATGCTCTTGCAGCTTTTGTCGTAATCTCATAGTGTTCAAAGGTGTAGAGATTTGGAAAAAGAAATACCCTAACATATGACGAATTCAGTAACGTTTATTCTATAGGATACCAAATCATTGTTCAATCCGGGAGGGGAGCCAGCTCACTCATTTGTTGATACAATGGCTCCTGAGATGACAAACTGTGTGAAAGAGAATAAATGCTGGAGGCACTCAGAACTCCAGAAAAAAGTTAGGGAAACTGTCATCCATCCAAGGCAGTCAACAAGGGACGACGTACCAGAGGATACCACATGGCAGGACTCGCATCTGTCTTAGCTGGTGGCTCCTGCAGGTCTGGATGTCCTGCCCTAATCAAAACGCTGGCTGGTCTTAGGTTAAAGGACTTGCCTGTTATTCCTGTGTTCCCGTGTAGGGCCATAACTGAGCCCTCACAGGCCACCTGTTCTGACATTGGCCTGAAATGCACTAGTATCAGTTCTAGAATCCTTAATCACAGTGGATGTGAACAATGTGTTCAAATGCAGCTTGTAAACTACTTTTCTGAGCAATAAAGTTCATAACCCCATAACCATGTAGGGTTGACAATCTTATTAGAGGACTGGATGGGGAGGCCTGTGCTTATATCCCTCAGGTATGTCATTAGCTCATCTCAACCCTATGGGGTACTGGTGCTTCTCATGCCTTTACAGACCAGAAAACGGAGGCTCAGAAAGCTAAGCTGTGGTCAAGGTCACATAGCTGGTAGATGTCCAGGCAGGAACTGGATCCCAGTCTTTGGAACCTTACCTTCCCCCACAAGCTTATCCATGTTACACACACACACACACACACGCACACACACCCAGGAGTAGGTTGTGTGGTTTACTGCTCTATTAATATGAAGTTTGGAATTTAAATTTTCCTACAGAGTATAAAAAAGAAAGGGTCCTTCACAGTCTTCTTTGACAAACCAAAAATTAAAGAACTATTGAGGTGGGAGCACATCTGAAGTTGACTTTAACTTTGGGAAGAGGAAAAAGGCTGAAGGGAAAAAAATCCCTAATTCAGCAATAATATATCCTTATTTTCAGCTTTACACTATACCAGTAAATCGGAATTCCATTCAGGAGGGAGAAAGAGATCAGGGGAGAAGCACGAGCAGAACAGAGAACAAAACTGCCCAGGACCAGGCCGGCCCCACGGCCTAGTGTTTAAGTTTAGTGCGCTCCACTTCGGCGCCCAGAGTTCACGGGTTCGGTTCCTGGGCATGGACCTTCACCACTCGTCAGCCATGCTGTGGTGGCAATCCACATATAAAATGGAGGAAGACTGGCAACAGATGTTAGCTCAGGAACAATCTTCCTCAGAAACCAAAACAAACCAAACCAAAAAAACCCCCCAAAACTGCCTGGGCCTGGTGTTCCATTGGCACCAGTGAGCCTCCTTCCCTCAGTCTTCAGGGCAAGGCTGACTTCACAAAGAGTCCCATGGCCCCAGAACTGCACATCCAGGCTGGTCCAGACAGGCCTGGAATGTACTGACTTGGCCTGGTAGACTTTGCAGCAGAATAAGGGAAGGTAAGCGGTGTCATCATCTTCGCCAGCCTCTCATAGGACCAACTTGTATCTATTTATTTATTTATTGTTTTTTAAAGAACAAACTTTTAAAAGTAAAATGAATGAAACCACTGAGATCAAGATACAAAGACAGAAATTCAAAGTAGAAAACAAGACCTTGCTGGGAAACAGTTGATGAGAAACACCGGAAACATTTCACAGATGCACAAAAAGCTCACATTGTAAACAGGATTAAGCCGCTATTGATTTTCCCCCACAATATCAGGGTTTCATTTTGCTCAGCCTGAGATCTCGCTCAATTTCAAACTGCCTGTGATCCACTCGGTCTAGAAAAGCTTTCCGTTCAATGTACCTAGAAAAAAATGAAAAAGATGTTTGTCAGCAGAATCCAGCAGGAGAAAATGCCTCCTCTGCACTGTCCCATCCCCGCCCCCCCGGTGTGAACGGGTCCACTTCGCCAGTGGGATCACCAGGTTACAGCAAATGCAAACAGATGACCACAGTTGGTGCCCAGACTGACCACCCACGACTCAGTAACATCCAAACCACTCAAGTTGGATCTAAACAAGGATATTTTTGGTTCAGATGTAAAAGAAAATAAAATGAAAAGGAGAAAGGAACAACTTATCAAAGGAAAGTACGTTAGAGACTTGGATGTTCCAATTTTGCAACAAGGTTTTAAGGAAAGCAGCAGCAGGCTTAGTCAAGCCCAGTTCAGAGCCCAGCTCCGTTACACATTAGCTGGGCCACGCTGGTCAAGGACTGACCGTCTCTGAGCCTCATTTTTCTCAACAGCAAAGTAGTGATGCCATATTTCCTGGCCTTAGTGGTGTGCAGAGTTGGTAGCAGAGAGAAAGCTATGCATCCTGCACATATACATCAAAATGTGAAAAAAAAATGCATCTGAAAATGGAAGAAATAGGGTAGTAAAAACTACCCCCTAGGGCGGCAGTGAAGGTGCAGTGAATTGAGAGGTACATAAAGCGCTCACTGGGCCGGCCCTGTGGCTTAGCGGTTAAGTGCTTGCGCTCCGCTGCTGGCAGCCCGGGATTCGGATCCCGGCCGCGCACTGACGCACCGCTTGTCCGGCCATGCTGACGCCACGTCCCACATACAGCAACTAGAAGGATGTGCAGCTATGACATATAACTATCTACTGGGGCTTTGGGGGAAAATAAATAAATAAAATTATTTAAAAAAATACCAAAAAAAATTAATCATTAAAAAAAAAAAAGAAAGCGCTCACTTCAGAAGGGATTTAACTGCCTCCAGTTCCCCACCCCCACCTTTCTCTCCTTGTATTCTCCACCCAATTGGGGCCAGGCTGCTTCTGCAAGCTTGACAGAAGAGCCCTTTCCCTAAATTCCTCTAAGGGAATCTTAAGTGCCTCTGCTGCCCGAAATCCACATATAAAGGTCAGGGCTCTGCTCCCTAATCTGGGGCCAGGTTCAGTTGACAAGGGTTCCTTTGGTCCTCCCAGGCAGGATGGGAAGGCAGCAGAGGGCTGAAGTGGGCAGTCTGGCTGCTTAATGAGACACAGCTGCATTTCAATGCACCTTCTTGCCATAAAGTGTGCTGCGATTTGCCTGGGGGGAGGGGATCTCTGCAGCTAATTAACCTATTGAGAGAGCAAAATTGCCACTGAAAATGGGAGACATAATTGAATCTCTGCACTAATTTTTCTTTTGTTGCACTGTGGAAAATGTGCACCTGTCATTACAAGGTCGTTACGTTTACGGTGAGAACACTACCAGGTTCAGGAAGCTGTGTTCCTTTGCTGAGTTCAGGGCCTCACATTCCCTCCCAGAGCACCCTGTGAAATGCAGTCCATCCTCTTTGCTTTCCAGCCAAGCCTGTGGCCACTAACCCTATGCCTTACTACAGAAGGGGTGGCGGCTCTGAGTTCGAATCCTTACTCTGCCACTTGCTGGCTGTGTGATGCTTGGTAACCCATGTAACCTGCCAATTGTGTTTCCTAATCTCCCCCCCCACAAAAAGAAAGGATAATCATCCCTTCTCTGAAGGGCTGTGTGAGGACTAAATGAAATAGTGTACATATAATGCCTAGCACAGAGCAGGTGCTCAATAAAATGGCAGCTAACGTTGTCACCATCATTTTGGGAAGCCAGCTTCTGCCAGGGTCCTGAGGACAATCGATCCAAGAGGAGCAGTCAGCTCTCTTGATGAGTGTTATCAGTGACCAGAAACCACTACCTGGTCTGGGATCAGGAATTAAGCTGCTGTGTCAAAACCATCACCAAGGGCCAGCCCTGGTGGCGTAGTGGTTAAGTTTGGCACTTGCTGCTTTGGCGGCCCAGGTTTGGTTCCCAGGCGCGGACCTCCACTTGTCTGTCAGTGGCCATGCTGTGGCGGCAGCCCACATACAAAAAGGAGGTTGGCAGCATATGTTAGCTCAGGGTGAATCTTCCTCAGAAAAAACAGAAAACAAAGCAAAAAAACAAACAAAACCCGACCACCAAGAGGCCAGAATGGCTGGAAACACAAAGGGCAGGGCCTGCTTGTCTGACACAAGCCCTCAGGGTCAGGCTGCCAGATTTAGCAAGTGAAATGCAGAATGCCCAGTTACATTTGAATTTCAGACTCCCTGGCACAGAGGGAAGCCACAGACATTGTGGACCCCTTTTGCTAAAGAAAGAAAACGGGGGACAGTGGTGGCGAAGTAGACACACAACAGAACAAACTCACCTTCCATCTATCACCAAGGGACCCATAATTCTCCAGAGGGGGCTGTTAACCAAAATTGACGGATGGGCTTTGTTACACTACGACCATCATCCCTCTCCACCCCAAGCCCCCTGGTTCTGGGTGAAGATTGTGATGGGGACCAATGTTTTGACAGCGGTGTGCTTTAACTCCCTCTTGAAGGTCCAGCAGAAAAAAAGGGGTGAACTGTGGCTAGAGAGGAATTTAGGGCATGTTTCAAGAGAGCCATTACCCAGTGCTACCTGTCTGAGAGAGTGGGCCAGGGGGAAGGAAGAGAAATATGCAGCTTTGAACATTTGTGGTCTTTCTTCTTGACTTTCTTTTAAAGAAGAAGAAGTGATACTTAAATTAGGATGCTCACTGAGCATGAATAATGGCCTTGCAGATTCCTGGAAGCTTCTCTGGGTCCAGCTGAACCTGAGACTATCCAGAGTGAAGCCAGGCTGGGTGCTCAGCAGGCAGGGGCAGGCAGAGTTCAGGTTTAGGGAAGGCCTCAGGCAGCAAAGAGGGGCACATGTGCAGAATGCTACTAAATTCCCAAGGGCAACCCAGACAAAGGCCATCAAGGCAGGTTTGGTGACTTCATTCTCCCATTCACAGCCATCTGCAGCTGCTAACAGGATCCTTGTGATGGCTTTAGTTTACTGCCAAGAGCTGACCAGGAACAAAACTTCCATTAGACATGGACTCCCCACCTCCCAGAGATAGAAAAGGTGCTGAGGATGAGAGTGGCTCTGACATTTACTATTTGTGAGACTTTGGGCAAGATACTTAATTTTCTGTGTCTTATTTTTCTTCTCTGTAAAACAGGAATAAAAATTACAATACTTCTGACAATTTAATGAAACTGTGAAAAGTGCTTTGTAAACAATAAAAACAAAAATAGCTGTTGAGTGTTGCCGGGTTCTTGCTTCCCATTTCTGACTTGATTCTATCACTACAAAGCCTCAGAACCTGGGACAGTTGGAACAGGGACCAAGAGACCAAATGTTCCAGAAAGAGGAAGGGCTCGTGGGGAAGGCCACCTCCTCCAAGGTGGCCTGAGTGGATGGCCTATTTAAACTGAGCCTCAGGAAGTTTTCAGGCACGTTAAGTGGGTTACAGTCTCGGCACAGAACCGCCAGCTGACAAGTGCAATGATGCTTTTCTAGCCTGGGTGCAGCACTCCCAGGGACCCAGCCTGATTTGGCCCAGTCCCCTGGGAAGCCAGGGGTGGGGGTGGAAGGTATCATACCTTCCCCCTATTACTGCCTTATGTGGCCCATTTAAGAGGCAGCAGCTCTTCGCTTTCATTAATAAAATATGCTAACAGCATCAAATTCTAAGGGATTTTCTAGCTTTTCCCTTCAGAACCAGGTTAGATACAACAGGCTTTGACATATTTTTGATCTTTCAACCCAAATTACTTTTCTGCCACCAATTCTCTTGAGATCCAGGCCAATGGGGAGAGAGAGAAAAATGGAAGAGGACAAGAGAAGGGTAGAAAATGCTTCTAGGGAACATGTCAGTGCCTACTTCTGGGAACCCATGCTGCAAATTAAAGGATGGCCATCCATCCTCCAAGACGTCAAAGGTCTTTGAGGGTAGGAGGGCCTAGTGGGTGTGCTGGGAGCTCCAAGAGCTCTGTCATACGGTTGACCACTCACGAAAGGCTTCCTGCCCACTGGCCAGGAAAAGAAAGAGCACAGGGAGGTGCAGGGAAATCTGAAGAAAGTACATAACTGAGGGCATTTCAGGGCTGTGTTACTACTCTGCTCCAAGCACAGCCAGCGTTCAGTTCCCCAAGCAAGCATTCAGCGCAGCACAAACATGAGAAGGAAAGTGGGTCAACTTCAATTCCCAGCACCAGAAAGCAATGGGCAATGCAGGCACTCCCAGGCTAGAGTAAAGATCTGTGATGGATGTAATAAGATACGCACTTTTTTACTCTGTGAAATGCAACTGAAAGAAGTAATCTGCCCAATATTGCACAAGCCTGTGGCACCCCAACCCCCATGGAAGAGGCTGTGACTTGCAAACCTCTTGAGGGCCAGAGTGAAAGAGTGGTCATTTTAATTAAGTTTCTTCTCCATTGCTTTCCTCCCATCTTACCTCAAGGTTGTGCTGGTTCTGAAAGAGCGACTCTTGAGGGTCATAGAGATAGATTCTTTGGGAAAAAAAATTATTTTCTCTGGTCTCTCTTTCATGCCTCTCCAAATCACAAACACACCTGGTTTCCAATCATCAAGCTCCATGACCTTCAATCTGACTGCCAGCAGCCCCAGTCTGGGGGCTTTATTTCTCTCATTTTCTGTGCATTGACCCCTTCCCCCAAGCCTGCTGGGCCTCTGCCTCAGCAGTGTTGGCGAACATTGCCGGGGAACCTGTGTGATCGGTTACAGGGCTAGACGGAAGCAATGCTAACCGCCTGAGTGCAGACTGCTGACACCAACCCTGAAACGCTGGACCATGCTGGACTAGGCCATGGGAGGCCGGGGCTCAGAGTAAAAGCAGTGATTCTTTGCTGTGCAGACAACTGTCTTTGGTACAGGCATTTTAACCAACTTTGCTGACTGAAAATGATGTGTGGGTGGAGACATCATTCTGATGTAGCATGCCTTTCTTTTCTGGGTAGTTAATTCCAATCCT